ATCGGTATAACGATTATTATAACATTTAACATTAAAAAATTGCATAAAAATATTACTAAAATATTAAAAGCATTTTGCCTTCTATTTCATAGGCGGGAGTTTAAAAAATACATTAAACAGGTCACTTTTAAATAGCGTATCAAGATAAAATCTATACCAGTTTTAAGTAAGGTATTCAGAAATACCTGCAAAAACTGCATATAATCTGGTGAAGTAATTTCTGCGTGTTGTCGGAACAAACTTACAGACACACAGATGGACAAAATTTCTAAAATTTATTATTTCGGTTTCTATTAGTCTTATTAAAACACCCTTATAATAATTGTTCTTAAACGTCTCCCATGTACATACACACTAGATATCTAGTTACTATTGTATTATATTAGAAAAATAATTTACATCCTACTAATTTTATTAAGCTAGTTTTATCTACAATTTCGTCAACATGTATTTATTGACCATGATAAAAAGTAGTCTACAAGCTTCTTCATCGCAAATAATACGTCTACCTATAGCAAATTTCACAACTATTGGACGAGAGTTAAAGCACAAACAATATAACAAATAAACTCACTGTCACATTAATAAATCACGCACGCAAGTAGCAGGATGAATTTGAACGAAAATTGGTACAGAAATTGATCAAATTCTAGACTCACATATAAAAGAATATATTAAATTGAATCAAAGAGCAAATTGCAAGTTACTGTTTATTATTATTTTAGCTATGCTTGCACCTTTAATTTCCACCATTAAATACCTATCTAGCTACTTCATAAACTACATTTCTATGGGTGCCACATAGTGGCAATTAGAAATGCCGAATAGCGCAGTCTATAATTACCTACATGTTCACAAGACATTGCAAAGTGCCACCGAACAAATTTAAACAAACCACGGTCAATAAATTGTCCGTTACACCGTGGGAGTGAAACTAGTAAACGTAGTGTTCAGACTAAGCAAAATCTGTATCTAAATAAAGACTAATGTTCCGAAGTTTACTGTTAGTAACATTAATTGCATAACATTAACATAAATTAACTACAAAATATTTACCTATATTTTTTTAGGCATCACTTACATGTTTTTATTGATAACTTAAATTTTGAGTCCTTAAAGTACATTCTGATTATATAAAATTTAAAGGGTAAAATCATTATCATTGACAGTATGCAATCAGTGAAATTAAACATTTTTCTTTGTTATAGAAAAACAAGTCGGGGAAACTATAAAAAAAAATTATCCTCACAGCTACATCCCACTACGGCTAATCCAAGTAACAATTTATTAATAGATACTTTAAATTATTTATCAATTTTAATTTTTCAGAAATAGTTTTTAAAATGATAAATAATTTGTACTTCACTTATGTGTTATTATTTAATGGTATTAATTAAATGCCATTTTATTAAATTCAATCACAAATTATTTATTATACTCATTCTGTATATTATCGTAGTGTGCGAAATATAACATTAAAGCTGAATAGAAACTATGGTACAGCTCTTTGGGTGAGAACCATGTCTAATCTAGCAATTATACGAGCTAAACTAACGACGAAGAAAGTAAATGTTATTAACATTATAAATTAACTATTTTATGTCCATCAGAATTCTCTAAACACCTATTGCTGAGTAATTCAGCATATCCAAAACAACAAACTGATGAATACAAGGTTATTTATTCTAACGTCACCAGAAAATAATGGGAGAAACAAACCCATCAATCACGCAAGGCAAGTGAACTTATACTTGTAGTTACGCGTTGCGTCTGCTATCAAATATTTTGTAGTCATGAATCTTCGTAACAGTTCATTATGTCCGAGAGCAATACAGAGGTTATATGTTACATTGATGTGTTTTGATATTTTTACCCATTGATAGAATGGCTGCGAGTGCGCCTGCGCATCGGACTTTCTATTTCATGTTTTATAATCGTATAAAATATTTCAGATTTTATTTTAATACCGTAAATTGTATTGAATAGTTACACCTAATCATAGATGTTTGTTACATCTAGCTGAAATATAAGTTTTTTAAAGACTATTAAAATATGTAATCTAAGACTAAAACTTATTTAGTTAATTTTATACAATAACTTGGATATAATGTAACAACAGAAAATTTGAGAATGATATAAAGAGTAAATAAAATCTATCAGGTTTCATCCATTCATACTTTGTATTCGAATTCACATTAATTACAGCGATAAGGCAGCCTTTTGTAATTGCAACAAATTTGATATTGGTATTGTATGTATACTTCTATTTTTTGTACAATAAAAATATTGTTATGTTATTGATTCTCACCTAGTTCAATACGGATTAGACAGATAAAAGCGAATATTAATAACTTTACCGTTAACATAATATTATTACGAGTATTGAGCACATGTCTTACTCCATAAAATGAGCATTCTAGCCCTTCGTTAGGTGCGTTTAGTTTTTTTTTTTTTTTATGGATGATAATGGAATGTTGACTCCGTCTGCACTAACAGTATACGCTGGCAGAGCACCAGCGAGAGTGACGATGAAAAGACAGGTCAGTTAGCCCATCGTAATGAATACACCAGGATGATTTTACCAGGAAATACACCAAATTCAGCACGATGGTTTCTAAGAAAAACCACGTGGAGGTCGACCTGATAGGATATATTGCTACTAATGAGACTGGTAGTCCGCATTACTAACAACCCCTTCCCTCCAGGCGCCTTTGATTATACTTGCTATGCCTACAATTAAGTATTGATAAATTACTTCCAGAAACATGTACATTTTATACAGTAGGCAATAGTATAGTAACATTTTGATATTGTACGAGTAATAATAGGCACGTTGCATTTTCAGCAAAGTAAGAGTAGGTAAGTACCTACTCTCTTCGCCTGACTGGGGCACAGATGGCAGGCGCGCCCCGCCCGCTGCCACCCTACTATTGTACCCGTTAGTTTGTATGAAAATAGAGAAAGAAAACTATCCATGTGTGTCACCATTTCGAATAAAATATTCTTTTCATTGTTTACAGCCGTTGTTCCTGCGCGACTGCTTAAAGTATTGTACGTGGAAGAAACAATGATATTTTATCAATACATGTCTATATAAATAATAAGCGCTGCTGCATTCTCTTAATATTCAAGACCGATCGTGTATTAGCAGATAAAAACTAATTGTTCATAATTAATAATCCAATTATGTTTTTCCTTACAATCACAGGACCATTGTCTCTTAATAACGCGATTATTCTTTATAAAAAATTCTCATTCATTACCTACTAATATTGAAATAATTTTCAAAATACTATTAAAAAACTTGCTATATTTCGGTAAACTATATTTATTAGAAAAATTAAAGGAATAGGATGAACTGTGTGCAACCATTTTAGATATTTAGATAAAATAATATTAAAATACGTAAATGAACTCTTCTTCTAATTAATATTTAATGACTTTACTCCCACTTGTACCATATACTATATCACAAGTTTTGCTTCAAGAAGACATAATTTGTATTAAACTTGAATGGGAAGTTATCCCCCTTGCAATGAATATTCGAGTAAGTTTAGATGGCACCAATATGTAGAATTATTTAGCAGACTTACGAATACATTCGCACGTTATAACATTCAATATAAATTATAATGGTATTATGTGTTAATACTCAAAAATCAGTCTCAAGTTTAATTTTATTTCAATAGTATTTTATTTCTTCATCTAAACTTGCAAAAGATGCTTTAATAGAATATAGTAAAATAATCCTTTATTTAATTTCATATGAAGACATAATATATAATTAAGTATTTATTTATTTAAATCTATCTCACTTAAATTTCCTTACTTTACCTTTTTCTAAGATATATTAAAATAATATCATAAAAACAGAAACTTTTTCAAAATTAATGTTATAGTTTTCCATATTCAAAACTGCTTAAAATATTGTGATTCTTTATGAGAATTTACATTGAAATCCATTACTAATTATGACCAAATGTTAATTTTCTAACCACTGAGTCGACAAGTTATAAATGGATGTTCTCAAGTGCAACTAGCGATTACTTCCCTGGGGTGAAAAGCTACTTTCTTCTTTTATTACTAACTACTCTATCGAACAATTATCTTTCATATCAATTATAACAACATGATTTCATAGCATGTGATTAATTAGATTTTGAAACGTTATTTTTATAATAGAAAAAAAAACGTTTTTATAACTTTCGTGACGAAATCACGTTTGTATATAGTAAATACTAATAATTAGGGCACTGCGTAGAGAAGCCACCGAGCTGCAAACCGCTTTGCTCACAATAGTATGGATAATTAGTGGAAAATGGAGGGGAGTGACGGGTGAAGAAATTAGTTATGACCAGCCGCAAGCGCTTTTCCAGTAGGCTGGCAAATAAGAGCTTTCAACAGTTTACGGACACCAATATATATACTTATACATAATTCTATAATGAATAGCTGTATTCTGTGACGTTATAGCGTGAAAAAATAAAAATATCCTGTGTTAATCCGATATGCATATGTAAATATCCAATATATATCTAATATCTTTCTGTGTACTAAATTTTCATTAATATTTTTACGGACATTTAAACATGATTATGTAACAAATATTCAAACATCTTATATATGTTTTATAATAGGTATTAGTAGATTATAATTAGAAAACTAGTGCTGCTAAAATAAAAAAATAGCCCCTAATAATAATTGAGTTAATATAATTTATATGTACATTGTATATTTATATACATCTAAATAGTTTTCTTGAAAAGACAGTTATAAATAACATAGTACACTGCACCAAATTACGTCTAAAAAAGAGTTTGCGAAACGTTGAATGAATGGATAGCTAGCTTTACCTTTAAATAGAGCAAATTTGTTCTAACAAACAAGTTAAGCCAGTGACGGACATAGTGAAGCAATTCTCTTGACATGATAATAATTTGTTCTCTCATCATATTGCGTAATGAAATACTAAACTAATAATAATGAAGTATTATACTTACACGTTATCAGTGACGTCGCTCGATTCATCCAATTCACCAATAGTATCTAGAGAAGCTCCAGAACCATCTTCACGTGTTTCAACAGGCGGTGGGGGAGGAGGAGCAGTTGGCCGTACTAGGGTCGCCTCATTATTACATTCTTTAAATTGGGGTTTCGGCACAAAATCGATTAGTCTTGGTAAGACTTCTGGTATAACAGTATCCTCTAATTTATCAACATTATTACTGCTCATTTCGGCTTCTGATCGCTGCAACCACGATTCAATACAATTCTTTTTAGTAGGTGTTAACAAAGACTCGGGCACAGGTGGTGGAGGTGATTCTGGTACAGTAATAGGCCTAGGTTTCTTTTCACTTGCAGATCGTTCAATTTTTGTATTTCTTGGCATAGGCTTAGGTTTTTCGAGAACAGATTCCGTATTTACATCACTAGTTAGTTTACTAGTTTGTACACTAGTTTTATTGTGTTCTAAATTAGAAATATTTGAAAAAGCAGTGTTATTGTTATTATCATTTTGTTGTAATTTATTGGATGTTGTTATTATTTCTTCAGATATTTGTGTCGTTTTCTCATGTAAATTATATCCATTAATAAAAGAAGTTTTTTCATTCACAGTTGAATCTTTATTTATATCCATTTGTCTTTCTAGGAATCTGTTACTTGTAATATCTTTTAAAATATTGGAATCAATATTTTCGATACAATTTAGTACTTTCTGTATATCGATAGTTTTAGGTTGCATTGTTGGTGTAGAAGGAATACTGTTTTCTACAGAACTAGTCATAGAACCTAACCTATCAACGACTGTCGATATAGAACTGCCAGTATCATCAGATTCTGCGTCTGCTAAAACTAAACATCGTTCCCATTCAGTGGATAATAAATCAATATAAACTTCGGCTTCTGGTGGCATTGCTTTACCATCAGATAAGCGTCGAACTAAGCGCCTAGCTTCTTCAGGCGATGCTTTTTTTAAATATGCAATATTTTCTTTACTTTGTCGATGAATATGACTATCAAAAGAAGATTTCCTTGACAATTTATTCATTGTGCTATAACCATTATGTTGGCCATTTCCTATTATATCTTTGTCAGTTTGTTTCTGCCCATCGTTATTAATTGTACTTTGTTCACCAACCGTTTGAAGAATTTGTTTATCTTTGAAAGAATTTTTCTTGCCGAGTTTTCGGGGAGGAACCGGTGGCGGTAAAGCCGTTGGTCTTGCAATATCAATCGCTGGTTTTGAATTAATCAAAATATTATCTGCGGCTTCCATTTTATTGTTTTGTTCTAATTTTCCGTCTGCCTCGAAATGTCTTACTAAGAGGGTTAACGACTCATCAGAATCTTTTAATCGACGAACACAGTCAATTCTTGTAAGATCCGAAACAGATATTCCATCTATAGCCAAAATTTCATCACCAGGTATAAGTTTACCCCAAGGAGTACTAGCATTTGCTGCAGGACTGTTCTCAGCACACGATTGTACAAGAAGCCGCCTAACTTTCTCGGCTGCAGCAGATCCACCTTCAAATTTAAGCCCAAGTCCAAGGCGCTCCCCTTTAGGTCGCCGTACTATCACCTCGGCTGCACCAGAAGCTGCTCCAACAGTAAGTACAGTCACAAAGGTAGAATCACTCACAAGAGGCCGACCTTCGCCCACCGGAACAATGGTGACGAAGTCCTCGTCAGCCACGTCAGTCGCCATACCGCGTATAACGCGCGCCCGCGCCGTATCAATCGCCGCTTACAGGCTCACGGACGGTAATTCTGAAAAGATAAAAAAAAATCAATATTGACGTAATAAAAGTGCAATGCATTTGCTTTATATTGGCGCAAATTAAATACTGTCATAGGGAATCATATTTGTAAATTTATAGCGTGAAATAGTTTAATTATTAACTGTTATATAATCGGTCTATATGACTAGGATGCAAAAGCAATCTATGTATGTCCTTCTTCACACCTAATAGTTGTGTATGCAAAGTTTCATAATAATTAGTAACGAGTCGATAAAGTGCAAAGAGGTAACAAACTCAATTTCACATTTATATTATTACTAGTTATATTTGCGATTATGTTCACGTGACTCGGAAAAAAATTACCCACATACTTCTCTATCCAAAATACTAATGTATACCAAATTTATACACATTTATATTAATATAGGATAAGAATAATAATAAAGTATTACACTCAAGGGCAATGAATCCGGATCACTTAAAAAATCTATAAATTTCGGAAATTAAGAATGCTAGTTTAATGAAATAAATTGTATTTATAAATTAAATACTCCTTAAATGAAGGTATTAAAACTTCTTAGTTACTGCAAGGTTATGTCGTAAAAAAAATCAAATTTAAAAAAGGGAGACTTTTGAAGATGGAACTACGAAATTATTATATTTGATTTTGCTTTTGTTTCTAATTGGTCATTTAAGTGGGTATATAAACCATATTGATAGTGTTCAATATTTATTATTCAATTTCAGAATTGTGAGAATTCTGGAAACCGGACGGAGTCAGCGCAATACAGCCAGGACTGTCGCTGTGTCGCTGTCAATAGTACAAAGAGTTCTCCGACGTTACGAGGAAACTGGCTCTAACCTACGTAGAACAGGAACAGGCAGAACTAGGTGTAGCAAAGCAATATAAGATCGATACTTGATAAACACCATGCTTTGTAATCGCTTTCTCACAGGAACTGAACTTACAAATCAGTTTCGACACGTCGGAGGAAGTAACCTAAGCATATGGACAGTAAGGGACACTTGCTGAAGCTAATTTGAAATCACTTAGATCTGCAAATAGCCTTAAACTGGAGCATTATGATCGTATTTCAAGATAAAGATATGCCCAAAACCATTTAAATTAACCTATTGAATATTCGTCGAAAGTTATGTTCTCCAACGAATCCAAATTTATGCTCTACACGCACGATGGAAGACAAAGAGTGTATAGAAGAGTAGGGGAAAGATTCAAGCAAACATGCATAGAAGAAAAATTAGCCTATGGTGGTGGGTCTGTACTTGTGTGGGCCAAAATTTCATCTGAGAGTCGCAAAGAACTGGTATTCATAGAAAACCGCTCTTTAACTAGCATAAGATATGTGGAAGAAATCCTTAATGAACACGTTGGTCAATTTGGCTGAGGATGCTATTTTTATGCATGGCAATGCCCGACCTCATACAGACTTCATTGTAAATGACTACTAACAAGAGATGGACATTACTCGTATGGAGTAGCCAGCACGCAGCCCGGATATCAACCTTATCGAGCATGCATGGGACGAGGTAGGGAGATGCGTAAAACAAGGAAACCCTCCCCGAATCACGCTTCGTGAGTTCAAAATTGCTCTCACAGAAGAATGGGAGAATATTTGCCAAAATCGTATAAGAAACTTGGTGTACAGCATGCCAAACCGCGTAAACGTAGTAATGAAAGCACAAGGAGGTAATACAAGAAACATAGACAAAGAAAATTATATTGTTGTACAAAAATGTCATGTTTCCTATTTTTGTTTTAAGGCGAAATCAGCAGTTTTTTTTCTTTATGTAATTTTTAATAAATAAAATGTAGTGACTTATAAATTTTACTACTTTTATTTAAGGAGTATTATATTGTCTATTTAGCACTGTTTATTTTATTAAGCTAGTATTCTTAGTTTCCAAGATTTATAGGTTTCTTTAGGTGACCCGCATTCATTGCTCTCGAGTGTAATAAGGAAAAAGAGCTATGCACAATGTTAGTATTGAAAAATGTATACGAACGAGAGTAGAAAATGAATTAGATAATTTTAAGAGTATCAAATTTAACCAATATTTCAACAACAGCTTGTCTAATGGTCGTACGCCTACTTCCTATTTGCCTTCCTACTTACGGTCATTCCAAACTTTCGTCGATCAATATGAAAGTATAACGAGCGTGTTTGGGAACGTGTTGACCACAAACAGTCGAATCATGGTATAAACGAGATGTGGGTTAGTAGCACCAGAGGCAGCGCAGGCGTCGCGTCGCTGGCATTCACGGAGAATCGATGCATTAGCATAACGCCTGGGGCTACGGCCCGTTACTCCTGGGTCCCGTTCAAAAGGGCCAGTCATTCTCGCGGTTTCTCAACATTTCCAAGTTAATTGTTGAACTCGAGTTCGCAGTATAGTACTACTATACTTAAAGATACTTCGAAGTGATTATTAAATACTTTCCCTCGAAGTAGAACGCCGATTTTCTTACATATATGAAAATTATCTACCTAATTTGTCGCTACAATATTTTCACATTTTAAAAATGTTAAAGCTATGCTTATTTTGTCATAGCGATCCGCCCTGGTTTCACACAATGTTTTTATAAATAAAGCTCAGGTAAAATTACTCACCGGTTATATAGTTTTTAAAGATGAGAATTTTAAAAATTGGCCTAATATTTTTTTAATTTATTCATTACGAAAATAGTCCATCCTCTTTTTAATATTATGGTTTATATTTAGATAAAAATATTCTAGCAAAGCATTTAAATCTACTTATATATATATAAACTGTTTAACTATCCTTTATAATAGAACACCTGTAAATAATCAGTGTAGAATTATAACTGTACTTGCACGTTGTCTAAGCCTCATTTCACGAATTTAAAACTATAATACAATCGAGCATGATATTTTCGAATCGCCGATCACGATTGTACGACATTCACGAATGACCTCGGTTGCATACAATTAAAACGAAATGAGTGCAAACACAGTCAGCATTTTCGCTTCAAGCCTGTCTGTGGATATTCGTGCGTAAACAAAGAAACATTGCTGCATCGCATACGGCATTGTTTAACGATATCTAATAATTGAATCTTTACACCATATCGTACTACAATACAAGAGGTCATATTTATTGGAATGGCATACACATTCTTAACTGAAAACTGATTCCGGTGCTGCAGAACTTATACATAGTTAAATATAATTATTGAACTATTCTACTCAATAGAACATTGTTAAACCTAGGTAGATTTCAAAATAATAATAATATATCCCTAAATTATATAGATAGAATGTCTAAATAGAAATACTTCGAAAAATACGGGTCAACTTTTTCATACTATATTGCGTGATAAATAGTTATGAGTGATTCCTTTTTAACTTCTATATTTATTTTGTCTGGTAATTTCTGCGTCTTTTTAAACACTCATTTTATTTATTAAAAAATACGTTAAGGTACATTTTATGCGTAAGTACATACCTACAATACTGATAAAAGAACGAGTCAGCTATTTTGACAATTAGCGGACCCGTTTTTGAGGCTCGATGCTCTATCTATGTAATCTAAGAATATACGAGTATCATGTTTATTTGAAACTATAAACATATAAAAAATATTGAGATGTATGTATCACACAAAAGCTATTACTCGCTATCATTAATCATACTGTTTTACATAATTTCACATAGTTCTACCGGGAATAACAATACACCAACTTTTACCTACGAGAATTGGCCGAAGGTGAATATAGTTTTTGAACCTCTCATATGTCCGCACGATCATGCGAAAGATTTATTACGAAAATTCGAAAAATCGTGTAGTTATATTAAAAGTGTCTGTACAAGTAAATATATGGGAGATATTAAATAAAAATCCAAAGAGATTATTAATAAGACCGATAGATACTAAATCTATGGTTCTTAGAAATTATGCAAACAAAATGTCTGTTTATCTGTCTGTCTATCTGTATGTTTGTTTCAGCAAGACGCAAAAATTACTACACTAAATTGAATTTTCATTTTAAATGAATTAACAGTTTTCAAGGTTTATCTTGAGAACTGGTATATATTTTATCTTGATACACCGTCTAAAATTTGTTTCTTTCATTGGTCTTCATACGTATAAAATCCACACATACGAAGTAGACGTCAAAAAACTAGTTATTCGTATTTTTATAATATTACTTGGAATAAATTATTTCGTTTCACGAATATGGTGGGTTATATTTCTAATTTTTATAACTACCAAGTAGAAGAGAAGAGAAGTAAACATATTTTCACATTTTTTTTTTTAATTTTTCTATGTTTACGAATATAAATAAAAAATAGGCGTTCATTCTGCGATTATGTGCATAATAAAACTTATGAAACCGTAAACTAAATATGCACATACTTAGCAAGAGACGTCATACGTAAATATACAAAATCCGTTATTCATCACCGTCGGGCATAATATTATAAGTGTATTCATAATATAATATAAATAGTGCATGAATATTCAGTCTCATCGGTAATCTGGCGTATATTTTATTTAAAAGCAGAAGCCAATTATACAGCTAGTGCACAACTGGGTGAACTGTAATATTTGCCTTTGTTTTAACTTAATGATTATAGTTACACTCGTATATCCACTTATAAACGTTGTATGCCGAAAATTGGGCAAGACTTGTCATTACAATCGCATACGTTGAATTGAGAACAAAAAAAAATCTAATAGTTACATACTTTAAATAACGTGTTCAAGGTCTTGACTGTTGCTCTGTTTTTTTTTTTTTTAATGAGAATACTCTTTCTGCATCAAAATCTACAATACAATTTTTATTATTATAATTTGCGTATATAAAATTATTATGTCTACTACCAAAACAATCAAACAGGATCAATGACATCATTAAAAATGAGACCGATAGCAGAACACTGCCATTTATCTCCCATACAAACATTGCTATCTTTTTATTATTATCAAACTATCAAGATAAAAAAAATATATAATTAACATGCATGTATGTTTGAGATGATAATG